ACAGTAGTGGTACCCATGAACCTGATTTCTATCGGGGCTAGTTGACGAATTTGCTGCCTTGTGCCCAAAACAATGATCTGAGTTTTATCTGCGTTAATCTTTAGCCCATTTTTTTCGGAACCAGAGTGACAGAGCTGCAAGGTCCCGCTCCAACTGGGTTACCATAGCTCCGACATCGCTTGGACTCCCCAGTACAGCTAGCTGCGTGTCATCACAGTATTGTACAAGACAACGATCGTACAAGGCACCTTCCGGCAAAAACAGTGACATATCGGTGGTGTACACGTTGAACAACAACGGCCCGAGCGCGGATCCCTGATAGGTGCCGATGGGGTTGTCCAAAGGCAGTGACAGAGTACCACGACCGTCCGGTGTACGAATCTGGACTTGTTGTTGGTGATCGGTAAGATAACTGGAGAACCAGCGGACGTCGACGCCGTACTGCTCAAGTTTGACGAGCAATCGGTCGTGGGGTATCATGTCAAAGGCCTTAGACAAGTCCAGCATACAAAGTAGCGCCACCTGTCGTCGATCCATCAATAGGTGATAATGGCGTCCCCCCGTCCTCGGTGAGTGGCGTGATGACTAGTCATCACGCCACTCACCGAGGACACATGAGCGCCACGCGACCACCGGTCACAGTCGACTGTGACCGGTCACCGGTCGACCACAGGTCGACCGGGGCCGGTTGTCGCTGTGGTCCGAGAGCCGAGACGGGCCCAGGGCGACCTTCTTGGCCGCCTGATGGAGCCGTGGTCCCATACATGCATTTCCCATCAATATGTGAATTTATCAATTTATAGGTAAATGGTTGTGACCAATCACTGTTCAACATCTGCCAATATAACCCGACCTGCGTCCTCCTCTGCCCTCCACCCTCAGGCAGTCAGCTGAGTCAGATCCAAGACCAGCTCCGGAGCCTGAACCTGTCATTGAAAGTCGACAGGCACCACCTATCCTTCACTGTACAAATTCAATCCTTCGGTGTTACAAGTTACAACCGGATTAATTGCTTTATGCTCCATTCAGTCTGCTGTTTGACCATAATGGGCTGTTTGAATGGCATGGCATATTGTGTCATAAGGAAAAAATATAGCATTGCAGTTAAAGGCCTTCTTGCATGACTATGATTCCAGTGAATGCTCTGAATATTTCTTGGTGAGTTAAATAGATTACCTTAGGGATATTCAGCATAGGACTTGAAAATAATATGGTCCCTAATGAGTCATTAACTCTTTACTGTGTTTCAGAGCGCCACGCGACCACGATGGGACTGCCAACGATGGCCTGCTCACCGACAGCTCCCCGCCAGCCGGCGGCGTTCCGCCAGCCAACGAGCTTCCGCCAGCCAACGGGCTTCCGCCAGCCAACGGCGTTCTGCCCGCCGATGGTGGCCCGACGACCGACGGTCGCTCGCCGGCCGAAGGTGATCCGGTAGCCGAACGAAGCTCGCCGGCCGACGCCGGCCCGCCCGCCGACGGCGCTCTGCCAGCCGACCGCGTCCCGCTCGCCGACGGCGTCGATACGCCGGCGCGCGTATCGACATTGATCAGAAACGATCACATTATGTCCAGGTCAGTAATTGTGTCAATCAACGCATCCACAGGTCAGCTGTGTCCTGCTTCGTTACTAGGTCAGTGACCCTAGGTGGGTTGCTTGGGGGAACTTTGTGTTGCCGGGATGGGATGTCTGCTAAAGCAGGTGCCGTTGCAAGTGTCGTGATGCTTGATGGTATCAGGCTCGAGCTTCGAGTGAGTGAGAAATGTGTAATGTGTATACAGGCGAATGTACTGTTATTATGGATGAGTGTGCGACAGGAAGCGTTATGAGGTATGATTCGTGGTCGCCGTGGCTGGTAGTGGCATTTTATGCGACCGTGGTGACCTGTGACGGCGGCCGTGACTGCTATATGACAGTCGCCGTGACTGTTCTATAACGGCCTTCGTGACTGAAACGTGACGGTCGTCACTCGTCGTGACGTGCCGCGACTCGCTGTTTTGCAGGTCATTAGTCGCGGGCGCTCGAGCTGACGGTGTCGTCTGACGGCTCCGCGGTGACCAGCGCCGCCTCCGCCGAGAACATCAGACTCCTGAAATGCTAATGGCCGTACACGAACAAGAGGCTCTAAACATCCAGGTGCAGGATAAGCGCCATGCTCAGAGGCGTCATCTGGAGAAGGCCGCACAGTGCACTTAAGGCTGAGCTCGGGTGTAGTGCGCGCAGACAGATATGATCAACTGACGGGCCGGCCATCAGATTTCAGTACGGAACTCAAGATGGTCGGAGCCGACGTGGCTCGGTTGATGGTGTGCCAGGGTTGATTGAGAGTGGAGGCGAGACACCCGGATCTGTGAAGGATACGCCGATACGGATCTCGACGTCGTCTCGCAATTTGTGCTCTGTAATATGACGGCTATGCCGTGGTATCATTCACTCTCGATGCGCTAATAAATAATGAATAGGACAGAGACTGGAATTAAGATTATTATATTTGGGTGTAAGGGGCAGGTTTTGGCCAGCGCTATGTTAGAAATCGTGAGCGTGCTAGTTGCAATCAATCGCGCGCTTCTTGCTGAGCATCTGTGAGCGAGAAAATACTTTCTCTGGAACGTTCGTCGTAAAATAAGTGTATCGTTGGAATAAGTTGTCAGAACATGAATGCATTTTTGGTGTCCACTGCAGCTGCTGTTTTGGAACAGAAACATGCCGAGATCGGTTGTGTATGTACGTTGTGGCAAAATCAAGCAGCCGTACCATGAATTAAAAGCGATATGTGAATTAAGGTGGATATATTTCACTATTTTTCAGTTTTATCATACAGATCACAGAAATGCGTCAAATAGGTACTGATCACACCCGGTTCCAAACGACTAAACGCTTGCGATCACTGGAAAGTAAATAATAAATACCCATGTGGCTGCCTGGCGTGATCCGAGACTCTCTCTCTCTCTCTCTCTCTCTCTCTCTCTCTCTCTCTCTCTCTCTCTCTCTCTCTCTCTCTCGCTCTCGCTCTCGCTCTCGCTCTCTGTTGTTGCTGACGCACACAGGACTGGGACAACACGGCCCCGGCCGAATCGCGACGATGGAGAGCACGGAACGATGCTGGTGACTGGCGGACCAGCGAAAACAGGAAAGGAGATGAATAGCTCTAGCTCCCGTCTGCGCGCGGAAGGGCTCTGATTGACGCGGCTCGTAGACTCCATTGGCTCATCAGACTGTTGTTGGTTTTCTCCCTCCCCTCCCACAAGCGTAGCCAGGTAGCTAAGTTGTGCGTGGAAGCGAGCGGCCAGAGCGGCGCTAGGTGTCGCCCTCCCAGCGACCGGGCAGTGCAGCTGGACGTGCCCCGGATGGTCCGCCTCTCACTCTGATCTCGGCACACTCGGCAGAGTGCGGCCGGACACTCCATGGAGTTGCATAGCGTCGATAGGCCGTATGGTGTCGCTGTCGTAATTATAAAAGCGTAAGTAAAAGGCTGAAGCAAGATATAGAATGCTTTTCTTTACATTTAATATCGCAAAGCACAGCTTTATGCGCTGGCTACGATATGTGCGTGTCGGTTGCGGCAGTAATCATCGAAGAAATATATGATTTATGAACGTTTCTTGATCATAGAATGATAAAACATTGCAATGTTTGCCTGTTGTGAAGAAAACTCCTATACTGCTGCTCTATCGTCCGGAATTATTCGTGTTTGATTACGGCGATTCCGCCACTCTATCAGCTGATTTTTGTTTCCGAGTCACGTGACCAACCGGTGTCTCCCTGACGCCGCTTTTGACAATTGCGGCGTCGAGTGGCGCGCTGCTAGCGCTGATTTTCGATCGCAGAGACCCTGCACGCGCGCGAGCACACTACGTCACGTCCGGGGGGCACAGGTATATGAAAAATCGCAGTGACGTAACACTTTTCTCGCTTCTCATTGGTCAATAGCCCGTTGCCGGGGTAACGTGCACGTATGTGAGCGCGGGCAAGAGTACTAGCCGGCCGCCGATCAGGGCGGTCCCGCCGAAGCTCGGTATCGACCGTGACTTATTCACAACTGGCGGATCCAGGAAGCGGTATTGGATACTGCGGGGGCTTACCCCAAAAAGATTTCTCGGAATTAATTTAAAAACTCTGATTTCGATTCCTTGCGCACTGCTATGCGGTGTGATTAACCAACATTTCCTCAGAAAAGTTGTGAAGTTGTCATTTATTCTCGAAAATCGATTTCGGGCGCTGCCCTGGTTGTTGGGGAAGACATTTGCCCCAAATGCCTTCCCCTGGATCCGCCAGTGGCCGTTGCCCCACTCCGAGCTTGACTAAAGACGTCTTCAAACCTCACCAGAAACCGATGGTAAGGTGAATTTCAATCCAATAACTCATCTCTGTCTGCCCGCCTAAATATACTACACATGGTACAGCACCCGGCCCTGTCGGAGCTATGAGCCGATCGTGATATTTTCGGCTTTCCCCATCCCAAGCTCGATTAGAAACGTTCTCCTTCCCCACCCGATTGCTGATGTCAATTCAAATTCAATGCATCATCTCTGTCTGCCCGACCATAACCCATTCATTGCACACCGTTCAGCGCCCGGCCCCGCCAGAAGTACCCTAGCGCGCTGAGCAGTTGCCTCCAGCCGCGTCATCGCGAGGCCCCGCGCGGCCCATAAATGAATACATTGCGCGAATAGCCGTGTCGCCCCCCTGATTACAATAACGAAATTGACAGAAAACCATCCGGTTATGGCTACTAAAGTAACAACAAAAGCTTTTGATGATGCTTTTGTAGCGAGACTAGTGGATTAGGTGTGGTTTTATAAAAATAGGCAGATGTATAACCTTATTTTAGATATTTTTTTTTAACAATAATACAAAAATAACAAATTTTAAAATAATAATTGATTGTAAATCATTGCAAAAAAAGACGGCTTGGAAATTTCAAAATTAAATAATTATAGCAATAAAAAGAGGGCAGCACAAAAGCGTAAAAGTGCGACAAGTATAGCGCAGCTTTTACATTTTCATGTAAACGACGCACAAATATACCGAATTCGTCTCAGCTTTTGTTTATATGTTGTTCAGTTTAAGGCGTTGAGTTGGGTATTGTGGGGGGTTGATAAAATTTACTGTAATTTACCCCGTTTTATGCATGGTGGCATGATTTTCTCAATCATCAAGGTTTCGCCGGTCGAATTGGTTGGTACCTAACTAGGGGTTTCAATACGGCACCTTGCCTTAGAAATTAACTAGGTAGGTAGGTACCTACCTTGAAATTTATGTTTTTTTCAGTTCTGAATCGAAAACTACTGCTCCTGACGGCGGTCGGAGAGGCCATCATAACCAAGCGTTTTCATTGTAGTTAATTCAATCTGATTAGTGTCATGCCATCTTACAAAACACTTACTCTTAACATTTACACCAAGTTGGCTCAAAATACTTAACTTTTCAGCACAAATGGGGCCCTGTATCACCGCCCTGACGCCGCCGCGCTGGGAGCTACGGCACACCATCGCCAAACCGTAACGTCACTCGAATGATTTTGCTTGCGATCCGTTAGCTTATGATTGAATATGATAAGTCACACTTGGAACAGAGGTCCTAAAGAACCAAGTACAAAGAGAACAGATGGTTGAGTGCGAATCCTACTAGCATGCTGCTGGCGCTGGCGCCGCGGCTCGCTAGCGTTTTGCAGTGATGCAATAGCTTAGTGTCAGAGTGAAATTTGTTGATATTGCCATGGGAGCCGAGCGTGCAGCGCACTGCAGCGCTCTGCCATGAAACACCGCCCTGGCTGACTGTGGGAATTTTTATCACCATAAGTCTTCAACAAGTTCAACTAACCATGACCAGTGATAAAGCATAAGCTCATGACAGCAATAAGCTATTGCTCTAGTGCTTCAGAATATGAATCTAAAACAATTAACTTTTTCTGAAATATTCTGAGTTTTACTGTACCAACCTACTTTCACTGTCATCACCCACTCCTCTTCACCTTCTCCTGACTCTTTTTCCTCTCCTCTAATACCCTCCTTTGTCTTCTCTAATTTTAATCTCTTCCTCTGACTTCCCTCCATGCTGTCCCTCTGAATCTCCTCCCTCATCCTCTCCTTCCTTCCCCTCCCTCACCCTCTCCTCTCTCTCTCTTCTCTCTTCTCTCTTCACTCTTCACTCTTCTCTCTGCTCTCTGCTCTCTGTTATCTGTTCTCTGTTCTCTCTGTCTCTCTCTCTCTCTCTCTCTCTCTCTCTCTCTCTCTCTCTCTCTCTCTCTCTCTCTCTCTCTCTCTCTCTCTCTCTCGCTCTCTCTCTCTCTCTCTCTCTCTCTCTCTCTCCCTCTCTCTCCCTCCCCCCTCCCTCCCTCCCTCTCTCTCTCCTTCTCTCTCCCTGACTAGCTGCATGCTCTGCCTACAGGTATTCTGGGCGCTGACAGCCATCGGCTGGGTGTACGCGGTGCTGGCCGCTCAGCGGGTGGCGCAGCGCCAGGTAGCCTCGCTCCCTGTAGCGGAGGACCTGCTCTGAACGTCTCTGTCCAGTCCAGGGGGCAGCCATGGGCCGTACCTCGGGCGCCAAGAACAAGGCGTCCACGTCGGCCGGCAGTCCGCGCTCGCCGCGCCCAGAGAGCGGCGGCCCGGTGCGCCGACGCCTGCGGCTGCCCGAGCTGGTCGAACTGTCATTGACGCCATACCCGCTCAGCCTCAGCACCGAGATGATTATGGCAATGAACGCAGAGGCCAGTACAATACAGGTGAGCAGTTTTGAATGGGACGTGCATTGATATTACTGGTTAGGTGCGTGATGGGAGAAATGATAAAGTTAAGGAAGGAGTAGAAACGTGCCAAGGCATATTTGAATCGTACGATATTAATGGTCTTGGTGCGTGCTATATGAATTGGTAATGGATGGTGCCAATGGTTTATTGGGGATGATTTCAAGCCGATAAACGGTGGTCGTTACCAATTTAGCTCGAGAGTTTGAATGGACGGATAAAACAGAGCCGGAGCCAGCGCCAAGCTGAGATGCCCACTGCGCATCTCACTAGGAATCCAACGCGCTACCCACTGAGGCACAGGATAAAGCATGAAATGGACGTTGGGAAATGGAATGTTAAAAAAGTTTCACTAGTCTTACTCCAACACGAACATTTTTTTCCAGAATAAGCTCAAAAGTGTCTCGAAGAGTATCGTGGAAATTGAAGAGGAGCGCGTCAAAGGCGACCCTAACCTGGATGCCATCAACAGCTTTCACGAAAAGATACAGCAAGAAGGCAAACTCACGCCCGCCAACAAGGTAACGGGACTAATTAGCGTTCAGTGAATCTTTTGATCAGAACAACATGTTCGCAGTGACTGCGTGGGCAGCCAACGGACATTGCCAAGTCGAGACAAGGGCGTCTTCCTGACGTGACTTTCATTTCCTCTCCGAAGGTAAAGCTGAAGAGTTTGTACGTGACGGCACGCAGCGACGCTGAGAAGGAGGCCCAGCTGATCAGAAACGCCCTCGCCTCCATCTACGAGATCAGGACGATACGCAATGAGCTGCGCCTTCAGGTAGACAAAAGCGAGTCTGTGACGAAACAAGAAACAATAAATCCAGTTGTGGATAAGACGCATGGCAGCGATGACGCCTCTCATCATGCTTTTGTGACTTTTATATAAGATTGCAGCGCTTTCCGGTAAAAAATGCTTATTACTCCTCTAACTTTGCTGCATTGTAGCAGATAGCGAAAAGTCCATCGACAATTCTGGTGGCGTCCATATTGGCGACAGTGTGACCTGGCGTGACCCCACCTCAGGCCAAGCACTCTGGGAACAAGGAGACGATCCGTCGCGGCGCGCTGATGAAAATGCTGCAGAATACGGCGCAGACTCTGCCGCTGTGGATCGGCAGCCCGGGCGAGGAGCCACCCGCACTCTGCGGCGCCGTCCAGGCCGAGTCCAATTACGCGGCCAAGGTAAGACGGTATGGCGATTGGTGGTTAGCTCTACCTGAGGTAAGAGTCCTACGTTAGAATGCCTAGCTGCGCGGCTGAGGTAAGACGAGAGACGGGTGGTTATCTTTGGTGTTTAGTGAGAGCGAGACGCCGCAGTCTTCAGTTGTGTTGCAGTGAGGTGAGGTAAATGTCAAATGGTGAAGTGGCTGGATATCCGGTTTTCGGCGATGCTTGATCCTCGTGGCTTTCGACGTCGGCTGTCCCATATCGATAAAATAAACCTCATCCGCTATGCCGCCAGCCTCGGCACGAGTGACGTAATTGTCCGTTGCCCCATCAAGGCTGTACCTTGCTAACCCTACCTGGTAAGCCGCTCTGCTCTGGTTCCCATGCTGATGCCTGATACCACCAACCGCTGTGTCGCCAGGCGGGAGATATGGTGGCCGCTCTGTACCGCGGCAGTGACGGCGAGGAGAACTGGATTCTGGCCGAGGTGATCTCTTACAACCCCTCCAGCAGCAAGTACGAGGTGGAAGACATTGACGAGGAGCAGCGGGAGCGGATGGTGCTCAGCCGGCGGCGGGTCATCCCCCTGCCCACCATGCGCGCCAACCCGGACACGCAACCGGAGGCGCTCTTCCACGAGGGCGATATTGGTAGGTGGCAGAAGGGGGGATAGAGAGAGGGGGAGGAGGGATAGAGAGAGAGAGAGAGAGAGAGAGAGAGAGAGGAGAGAGAGAAAGAAAGAAAGAGAGAGGGAGGGAGGAAGAGCGGGAGGGAGGGAGGGAAGGAGAGGGTTAGTTGAGAGGCAGTTTCTGTCAGTGACAGAATGGAGCGGGGCGACATCGACCGGCAAATGTTTGTATACAATTTTTCTGATGCCCCGACAGCCTTTCCATTTCCATTGTAAGGCGAATTTATTAGGAGTATTTTTGTATCTTTAAGTCAACAAAGATGTTGGAAAAAGTAACGTCATCCATTATCGATACAACGTCATTAACAGTAACTTTTGTTTCCCTTTGTTTGTCGTCCAAGAGCAGCCCAGTATTTTATGTACGCGCAACTGACCAACTCTCCTGCGTGTCTGTTCGGCAGTGAACGCCATCTACCCGCAGACGACGTGTTTCTACAAGGGCGTGGTTAAGAGCTCGCCGGCCACTGCGGTGGACGACTACGAGATTCTGTTCGAGGACTCGTCGTACGCGGACGGGTTCGCGCCGCCACTCCGCGTCGCTCAGCGCTACGTCATAGGCTACAAGGAGAAGAAGAGCAAGAAAGAGTGAAAGCCTTGAGAGTCATGGTGGGCAAGTGGGAAATGCTGCGTGGGCTTGGTTGGGAGATATGGTGTTGAGATGTGTATGCAAGTGTGAGTGAAAGTGGTGTAAATGGGCAGATTGGAGACTATAAGGGCAGCTGACACAAGGATCGAGACTCGAGCGAAAGGGTGTACAAAGTATCACGGATCTCTGACCGGTCGCTCCGCGGTATGGCGTCTGAAAGGCTCCGCTCGACAACGGCGACAAGTCCGCGCCGCTGAGTCGAGCAGCACCGCCCAGGGCTCAAACTAGAGGTCCGCTTACGATGCTTGGGTTCGCTGCAACGTGTCTGAACCGTCGCGTTTCATTCGTCTGATGAATATTCTCTACCTGCGGGTCTTGTGCTCATTTAGGCAGGCTGAGCAACACAAACGACACGAACAATTTGTCATTTAGCCATGTCATATATCGCATGTTCATATTCTGCACAGTGTACATACTCATGGAGCACATGCACCGTTTCGTAATACTACGATTGTACGACTGGCCGATTCGTTTATCTGTCCGTGAAAGAGGTAGTTGAGATTTGACAGGAGACTCCTGCGTGGAAAGCCCAGTGTCCGAAGAGCGTTACGTGTCGAGTGAGGCGAGGTCAGGTCACTTGCATCCATTTCTCGCCTGGCTAGGGAACTTCAGTACGGGCGGTTACATACGTTTTGGCCTGCAGACAATTTTGCAAGTCTGCCCGTCTCCCTCGCCCTTCCATCCACGTTAGTATAAAGGCCTGGCTACACTATGCGTTTTCTGCGTGCGTTTTTTGCAGGTTTGCGTTTTTTGCGTAATATCGTTCTAGAAAAAAGTCATAAATGATACAACTTTTCCATTAGTTGGATACAAAAGTTAATATAATTCTGATTTTAACTAAAATTTAATATAAAAAACATCACAAAACCGTAATATCGTTATTTTTCTAGAACGATATCACGCAAAACACGCAAACCCGCAAAAACGCACGCAGAAAACGCATAGTGTAGCCAGGCCTTAACTTAGCAGCATATGTACAGTCCAGACCTTTTTTCATTTCATCCAATGTATGATGTAACGCATCACTGTAATCACCATAGCTGATGCTGTTCATTGTAAGTTAAAAGTTGCATCAGATGTATTGTGCATTCCCTTTCAAGATAAACATTCCTATAACACGGAAGGCATGGCAAGCCTAAATCACAATGCTAACTGCTTCGCACAAGCCCGAATCACATCGATAACTAATTGGCACAACTACAAGCCTGAATCACATTGATAACTGGTTGGCACAAGCCTCAATCACATTGACAACTGACAGCACAAGCAATAATCACACTTTTCATCACCATATGTAGACGTTGTACAATGATCACAATATGCAATAAGCTATCAGTCATTCTTCACTAACAGGCAAGACAGCGTCGGAACCCGAGCCCGATCAGTAGGCAATATACGCGATGTTACAGTCAAGACAACGGCAACAAACGACGCGAAGGCACGGACATCCTATTGGAATGCCCTGTACGGAAATGCTGAAATCATATAAATACCACATTCATTGGCTTCGAAGTCGTCCGTTACAAACTACAAACAAACCATGAAGACTAAAATACTTCTAACGGTACATCTACATATGGATATTATGATCTTAGCTAAATTACAAGTCACAGTTTGAAAGTGGAAGGCACCATGATTGTATCATTTTTCAGCAAAGGCCTCATCAACTGGCACTACCTAAGTAATTTGCTAGCACTAACTCGCCACGTTTGACTAATGCTGTCGTACATTAAAGTACCTTTCAAGTTTCTTCACCACAGAGGCGTAACAGCACTGCGTTATATGACCTAATCAATCGGGGTATCTAATTGGAATCTAACTACATACCAGTAAAACGCCTTTTGGGCGAAGAACGAGCGAGCGAGATAGTGAGCCCTGCACGTGCGGAAGGGCGAGAGGGTGCTTCCAACGGGCTTGCGCAAAGCACCCTTCTAACTGGTCGCTAGCGGTGTGCCAAATTTGAACGCAATCGGCCCAGCCGTTCCTGAGATCTGGAAGCGGCATTCTGCACGTGCGCACGTGCAAACGGGGTCCAAAATGACTTTTGCACGGCACCCTACTAACTGGTCCCCAACCGTGTACCAAATTTGAGCGTAATCGGCCCAGCCGTTCTCGAGATCTGGAAACGCCCCCTGCACGTGCGCACGTGCAGTAGCACCCTAACCGCAACACATGGGAATGCATTGCCTGGTGGGTGCCTACCTGTATGCCAAGTTTCAGCGAAATCGCCCCAGTAATTACCAAGTTACTGAAATGGGAACAAATTTGGCACCTCTTATTGTTGTATTTTGCACGTGCACTGGGGGTGACCCACATGCATCGAGAGTATCCTATTTTGGCTAGAAGGGATGCTGCTACCCTATAAAAATTACCGCAAGTCAATCGCCCAAGCGGCTGCCGAGATATGAGCCTCTCAAAATCACTACTTTTGCAAAACAGCTTGAACACCCTTGACTTTTCACGTGGCACGTGCCACGACGGTCACTGAGATGTATCAAAAGTAGTCAATTACGGGGTAGAAGGGATGGGGCTACCCAACAAAAAAGACCGCAGGCCAATCGGTCCAGCGGTTGCTGAGATATAAGCCTCTCAAAAGCGTTACAGGCCGGGCCGGGCCGGGCCGGGCCGGGCCGGGCCGCTCATACTGAGATTTTTCCGTTATATTGAAAAGACTCACTTCGCTCGCTGCGCTCGCTCGCTCGTAACAATTTGTACGATCGATTTGCAGCTCCTGCAAGAATCACATTGCATTTGATTGGCATCACATAATCTGAATCATTGAATCACTTTGGCTTCAGAGACCACATTTGAGGTCTTGCAACTTAATCTATTCTATCGATCGCATAGTGCATTCTTAAATGTTTCGTTCAGTAAAATACATTAACGGTAACTGAAAGAACAAGCAGCGTGAAGCGACACAACGGCTCATCGTAACACCGAAACATCTGGCGAACAGATCAGTGCTAAACAGACATCTACTAAAGAGCTCACAAGTGGATGGCCAGTCTCTCACAAACACTGGGGAGTCAGAAAATTGGCCACATGTCATTCTCCATGTAAACATCTCACAAAAAAAAATTAAACAAACAAACTTGAACAGTTTATAAAATGAATCAACCTCGTCTGGCAAAGTTGACTGGCCCTCGGTGACAGTATGACTATAATCATGCCCACAATAAGAATATCATGACTATACCAGCTTTCATTAAAATATTTTCTTTTCGTCATTCATTGCATCAGAACACTCAACTCAAAGTCCTGCCCAACTTAAAAGTACAACTTACCGACAGATTGATACACCGGTGCATTCTCACCGATGAATTAGAGAGAAGGAGCGGCATATTCTATCCTCGCCCACTTAGCGAATTGGCTGGGCTGGGCGGAGCTGCGGCAGTGCCTAGTCTACAGAATGCCGGCAGTCCTCAATACACCGGCAGTGGTACCAATGTGTCGGTCCTCAATGCGCCGGCTGGGCGGGCGGAGCGGCGGTAGTCTTCAATCACCGGCAGAAGTCTCAGTATGTCGACAGCAGTCCTCATTGCACCGGCTGGGCGGCGGGCGGAGCGGGAGCGTTGGGGGTGACGCCGTGGCTCTGCATGAACTCCACCAGCTGGCGCGGCAGCTCGGCGAGCACGGCGCGTGCTAGACCGGCCTGGGTCTCCGGGCCCAGTCCGTACCGGCCCAGCAGCGGCAGCAGCTCTGTAACCACGCACCGCCGTCAGCCGGGGAGTGGGTGGGACTCTGGCTACTGGTATTAAAGGTTTGGAGATGCCAGGACTGAAACGGCCTTTTGACGGACATGCTTTGAAGCTAACTATGATCAATGATGGGGGTGGCGGGGTTACGAGTATAATCTATGATCGGTACGCTAGAGAAAGCAAAGTACGAGCGATGTGTCTGCTGAGCACATCAAGCTTTCCCAACTGGTCCCATCCCTCTCAGTTCCACCCGTTTTCGTCCCGAGCCCCGAGGTGTCCCATGCCACTCCACTTCGTCCCGGCGTCTCACCGACAAACTGGACCACGTCTCTGGCGGCGGATCGGCCGGCGGCGTCCCTCAGTCGTCCTCCGTCACAGTCCAGGTACTCCATCGCAGAGAAGTCCTCGCTGCCGACGCCGACTATGATAATGGAGAGGGGCAGCGCTGACGCGTCCACCAGCGCCGCCACCGTGTCCAGCCGATCTGCGGGAGTGACGGACGGAGGTCAGCAGACGACAGAGGGCCGATCAGAGGTCCCTGGGAGATTACTTAGAGGGCTAAGGCTAATCAGGTAGAGCCAAGAGCACTGTAATTGAGGTCCAGCACTGTTGGCGCATTCACTGTCGATAATCTCACATAAATATTCCCACCATTGACTATAACGAGACATTCCCAGTCACATCACGCCTATAGAACACGTGACACCGCCACTGATTTCTCTCGTCAGTCGCGTGACACCGCCCTGTGACGCCACCCACCTGTGATAATGCCGTCAGTGATGATGAGCAGCACGTAGTAGTCGCGGTCCGGCGGGGAGCTGGCCGCGATACGCGACACGTGCCGGATTACCGGCGCGAAATTTGTGGGACCGTACAGCTGCACTGGAACGAAACGCGTGGGATCGTAACAGCTGCATAGTAATACAGCACGTGGGATCGTAACAGTAGTACTGTAACGAAAGTCACGTGAGATCGTAACAGTTGTACTCAGTAACGAAAGTCACGTGGTGATACATGAAGCAGATGTCGCTATTTCGGTCGTCATATCGATCAATAAAGGTAAATCTGCGTTCAAAGTGGTAGTATGGCTATAATTCCAGCGAGTGGTATGCATGTGTGCAGCGAATGGTATACATGTTTTCAACGGGTGGTAGAACATTATACCTGAGTTCAGAGAGTGGTAGAATGATAAACCTTTGTTCAGCGAGTGGTAGAATAGCATACCTGTGTTCAGAGAGTGGTAGAAGATTATACCTGAGTTCAGAAAATGGTAGAATGGTATACCTGTGTTCAGTGAGTGGTAGAACAGCTGTATACCTGTGTTCAGCGAGTGGTAGTACATATTACAGTGTACTGTGAATACAGTGTAACTCCCTATACCTGTGTTCAGCGAGTGGTAGTAGGCCTGCAGAATGCCGTCCACGCCCTGGCAGTACGGGTTGCTCGGGTGGCCGTTCAGGAAGAACTCGTGTGACACGCGACCGTCCGGCGGCACGCGTCCGCCGAACCCCAGACACGGAAACTGCTTATCTGCAGACGCACAGAGAAACGGGTCAGAAGGACGGCGTCTGAGGGTCTGATAGGGGAGGAAGCGGACCGTTTCGACATACTTTCGGACGGAATAAATGCGCACCAAGTGTGCTGAAGGACCGTAGATAAACCCTCGGGCCTATGCCTGTGGTAATGCTTCAATATAGTACACAGACTTATACAATATTCGCGTTCTACAAAAGACTGTAGCCTAGGAAGCTGGTTAAAGATGGTAAACACTGTAATTTGTCAAAATCTAGTACGAGTGACACTGGTTCTTCACATAACTTCAATCGTTACGGTACACGTAAAAAACCACCTAAGTGCAGATAATCAATCACTCAGCCGAATGTAAGACATTCTGGTCACGAACTTTAGGTGATAATGCCCCGATATCTTCCGGCTATCGTAGTCCCGTATGATGCTGCCCCATGTTTCACAGATGTCCTAAACCTGTATGATGCTGCACCCGTATCTCATCGGTGTCGTAGTCCTGTATGAAACTGCCTCGAAATTCCACCACTGCCGTAGTTATGTATGACACTGCCCCTCCATCTCATCGGTGTCGTAGTCCTGTATGATACTGCCCCGCCATCTCACCGGTGTCGTAGTCCTGTATGATGTTGCCCACGGCTCTCACCGGTGTCGTAGTCCTGTATGATGCTGCCCACGGCTCTGATAGCCGTCATGTACTGGTTATCTCCACCGCGTGGGTCTCGGTAGTGCAGGGAGCGCGGGTCGGTCGGATACCCGTTGGACGCCGTGAAGTCTACGGCCACCGTGAAGTGCAGCTGAGTGCCCGACTGGATGTAGTCCAGAAACGTCACCTGAGAGTGAGCGGAACAGAGGATGGATTGATGGGAACAGAAACAGAACTAAATCCCCGAGGAATACGCCGAGAAGAAAGTGATTCGACAGACAACTCAGGAAGTCGACTAAAAACAGAATCTTTAACAAAAACAGGATCTTAAACAATCTGTTAAATCGCATGGGAAATGGTATGATGGCAATCATCAATACCGGGAAGTGGCAAAAAGTACAAGCGCAATACGACTTGGAGATAAGAAAACGACAACAGGTCCCAGGCTATGTGCCGCACAAAAGAGGTTAGCACAACGTCAATCGCAAACGGGTGCCACCCTCATCAAAGTCTTTAAGAACAGGCGGGATGTGTACTGGGAGCTGCTACCGACTGATTACATAATAAAGTTAACGAAATCGGCGAGAACGTGCCCCACAGGACTGAGGGAGGGCGTCGTGCCTCTCGTCCCGCGGGTAGCATGAAGATGAAAATGAAGACCATTGATGAAGAGTGTGCCTTTCCCTATGACCCCACCAGGCGACCACCCGCCCCTCCCTCCGCTCGTCGTTCGCACCTGCTGCGCGATGCGAGCAGAATTCACCAGCAGAGTGCCCGAGTCGGTGTACTTCTTCTTCTTGGCCCTCTTCTTTTCATTGACCAGCTTCAGCTGACAGCCGGGCTCGAGGAGCTGCTCCACGGGCACGGTACAAGATCCAATCTCGTCGTGCGTACCGTCGTTATCCCAGTCGAAGCAGCGGAGGAGCACGAGCCGCCGCAGGTCGCCGGCGCAGAGGGAGCCCAGCGGCACCGTCACCGGCCGCCAGTCGGCCGACAGGCTGTTCTTGACCACCTCCGTGCGGTGTGTCAGTGTAGTCGAGCCGTCGGCGTTCACCCGACTGAGCTCCAGGAACGGGTCACTCTTGCCGAATGTGTCCTTCTTGTCCAGGTTGCGGGCGCTCAGGGAGAGAGTGAGCACTTGGCGACAGGCGGAGACCTCCTCGGCGGTGACCAGCAGCAGGCCGCGGCCGCCCGACAGACGCCGCTGGAACTGAAAGAAACACTGCAATTGAAACGTGGAACGGTGCGACACCGCCGACAAGTCTTGCCCGTATAGAGCACAACACACCGTCAGATTCCTTTATTCCTTAAACGAAGCTTTAAATACTGGCAAGCAATGCAAATAACTTTGTGAGACGCCATGCATACTGTGCGATTAAATGTTACCAGAAGTAACGTGCTGTCAGTAAAAGACATTTAACTGGATTAACAAAACCCTTTGCCCAGCGTTGCGTCACATCGTCGTCAAGACGACCCTCATCGAGCCTGTGACGGTCGTCGTCAATACCTTTCCGCCGAGTGAAGCCACCACCTCTCCGACCGAGCACTGCAGCTCGCCCAGTGCGTCCTGCCGCGAGACTGAGGCGACGCTGACGTCCCAGTCGAGCACGGCGAACCGCAGCAGCTGAGGCAAGGGCACCGGAGGAGGTCAAAAAACGGCACACGATAGGGCTGGAGAGCCTCAAACAATGCTATGAACAGGATAATTAAACAAAAAAGGCAAATTTGTTAGCTTACTCAAGTTCCAATGTGTTTGGGAAGCCTGACAAGAGCTAATACTTACCTGTTTTTCCTCAAACTTGTAGTTGATTTGGAACTTGGTGGCAAACACAGGATTGAGGCTATTCTTGACCACCTCTGTGCGCCCCAGTTCCACAAATGCCCCAGCTGCTCCCTCACAGATGTATAGCACACAGCATGGGTCCGACTTGGATGACAGGTCTCTGTCTGACAGGCCACTGAAAACAGATCATCAGGAGTCAGAACATGTCAGAACCTGTGTCTGTATACCCCAGTATGATTATTTATTAACAGTTATTTATAAAGTTATTATTTAACAGTTAAAGGGACTATCCCACCTTCAAAAATGTTGTTAAAACCAGTTAAATTGTGCCCGACTTTATAGATTGGATGACCAGGAACACGGTTCTGGCATTTATTTTTCATTTAACATCTTAGTCTTCCCATATTCCAAACACAAACATTCAAATATGTGACGTCACAGCCCAAAATTACCTCCTTCCCCAGGCCACATTACTGTCATAAAGCTGATTCTTTTTACTCTGTAGGCACCACAACAAAGTTCAGACCAAGTTTTTAGCGATTTTTCAACGAACAAACCCATTTAAATCAGAATGACTAAACGAGGTGACGTCACACTAACGGTCGCTCCATGTTGAAGATAGGGCCTTGTACAAGGCCCATTTTCAAATGAAGGGAACGAATTTCTTCAACACCAAGAGGCCGCGGGGGTTGCAACCTAGATAGATAGTGGTTTCTGAACCTCGCCGCAAACTTGGCTATCTCAACTCAAACCCCATGGTAAAGGTGGGATAGTCCCTTTAACAGCTGAAAAGAAATGTGCCATCTCACTGGGAACTTATTGCTAACACAAAGAAAATGGATGAGATTGTTGGAAATAGGCCAGCGTAACTGCTATACAGGTCACCAATTGGAAGTAAGCATGGATTTAACCAGGAAATTTGATTTAAGCTGTTTTAATTCCCATCAATAAAATGAATATAAAATCATTTATCAACTAGGCAACTTCAAAGATTTCTAATTGATTTTGCAATAAGCACCTAGCAAGTCAGAAAAAGGCTAACATTTAGACATTAATAAAAGTTAGGTGGTTATTTCAAACACATTTCATAGATAGATAATAACATCAGAGAATATGAACAAAACCATCTCATCCACCACCAACCAGAATGCAAGGCATGACTTATTTAAGGTCCAATTATTGCATTTTACTACTCAGGTGATAAACTGTGCAGATTTTGAATGGAGCCATGCCATGCCCCATGGCATGGGTGCTAATATGGTGTCCTACTGGTCTGCTTAGCTGGTACAATACTGCCCATGACAATGATGCATCTGAGGAGGACACAATGTGGTCAGCCAGAGAATAACTGGAATGTTTTGCAGTCTAAGCATCTAACAGTCTTCTCATCAAAAGTGAGTTTTTTTTAGTCTGTGATATAAAATACAAATTGTGCTAGTGTGTGTCCATTGTCATGTGGCATTGTAATGTTTTCCAGTTTAGGTAGTCATAGTGTGAACTAGGTATTGTAAACTAACCACCCTGGCTTGTAGGGGTAGTTGACTGTAACCTTGTACTGCAGTCTGGCCCAAGATCAATTGATGAATCCTCACCTGCATGCCACAGAGAGCTCTATCTGCGTCTGAGGCCCAGCTGCAGTGCCAGGCTGAAATGGCTGCTGATTGCCACTGAACATGATGATCTAGCAGTCCACCTAGAACAGGAAAATAGAGCATATTTTATGACCAGAGAACTAAAAGCTAAAAGTTACACATAAATTGATTATTGAGGTGAGTCATAGGTACAGTCCACAACAGAAGTAATGTTTAGGTTTAGGTTTAGGTTTTACTAGTGGGCTTGGGTAGACCGGGTCTATTCAGGGCCCACATCCGGATAAGGTCAGAAATGACTCAGTGAGGATTCCTTGTGGCACAGTGTTGGTCCAACCGGTTTTTGAAACTGTTCGTAGTCAGTGCCGATATAACTTCCTCTGGCAGAGCATTCCAGGGGGACACCACACGTTGAGAAAAGAACATCATCCTTGCATGGTGGGTCACTCGTTTCTTGGTCAGCTTGAGGCAGTGTCCTCTGGTTCTCCCCTCCTGGCTCTGCTGGAAGAAGTGCTCCGGCTTCAGCTTCGTCTTCCCCGTCAATATCTTATAGGTCTCGATAAGGTCTCCTCTCCGTAGGCGCTGTTCTACACTTGTCATACCAAGATTGATGAGTCTCTGCTTGTATGGTACGTTCTTCATCCCCTTCACCATCTTTGTCGCCCTTCTCTGAACTTTCTCCAACGCTTTGAAGTTTTGCGCCATGTACGGTCCAACCGCTTGGGCACAGTACTCGATGTGGGGTCGGACAAAAGCGTTGTAGAGTGGCTTGAAGTTTCTCCTGCTTATTGTGCGGAAGGTCGCCTTGAGCTGCTTCAGGGCTGACATGCCTCTGCTGGCTGCCATCTTGCAGTGTAGTGTCGGCTTCAATGTATTTTCCACAATCACTCCCAGGTCTCTCTCTTTGCAGGTCTCTTCTAGCGACTCCGAGGTTCCGTCCTGTGTCATATGGTACACTCTTCGAGGATTTCCTGTGCCGCAATGCATCACTTTACATTTGGATATGTTGAACTTCATCAGCCATGTCTGTGACCAGTGCGAGAGTGTGTCCATGTCTTGTTGGAGTGCCTGTGTGTCGTTGGTGCTGGTGACTGCCCCGTACATTTTCATATCGTCAGCGAACATCTTCACTCTGCTATGTAGTAGTTCGGGAATCTCATTGACAAAAAGCAGAAACATGACCGGTCCCAAAACCGAGCCCTGTGGGACGCCGCTTGAGACGTGGGCCCAACTTGAGTGGCTACTACCAACCTTCACCTGCTGCTGCCGTGCATGTAGAAAGTCTATCAGCCACCTCAATACTCTACCCTTCAGACCATAGGCACTTAGCTTGCGATAGTCTCTTATGCGGTACGGTGTCGAATGCCTTCTTGTAATCTAGGTATACGACATCCAGTCCCTTACCCCCATCCAATATCTCCGTCCACTCCTCGAATGACTGCAACAAATTGGTTTGACACGACCTCTTCTGTAAAAATCCATGCTGATGCTCACTGATGATATTGTGCTGCTCCAAGTGCTCAACAATGTGTCGCTTCAGTATCCTCTCCATGACTTTGCACACCTGTGAAGTGAGGCTGACTGGTCGGTAATTACTCGCATCACACCTTGCTCCTTTCTTAAAGATGGGTGAGATGATTGCCTTCTTCCAGTCCATGGGTAATTGTCCACTCTCCATCGACTTCCTGAATAGCAGGCACAGAGGCTTGGCTAACTGGTCCGCACATGCCCTGAGCACTGCGCTGGGCACTTCATCTGGGCCTGGGGCCTTGTTTGGGTTCAGGTTTCGCAGTTCCTTGAGCACTTGCTCTTCTGTTACATCGATGTCGGTCATTACTTGGTCACTGTCCAGACGATCCGGGAACTCTGGGATGTCACCTCCTCTTTCCTCAGTAAACACTGACTTAAAGAATGATTGCAGGACCTCTGCTGCTTCTTCATCTGTCTCCGTCAACTGGCCTCTGTTGTCCTTGAGTGGTCCGACAGCTGCTCTCACCCTCTGCTGTGTCCTGATGTAGGAATACAGCTTCTTTGGCGCTTGTTTAAGACTGCTTGTAATTCTGTTCTCATAGTCCCTTCTTGCTTTTCTTATCTTACTTGTCGTCTTATTTCTCTGCTGTACAAAACTCCTCCAATACTCTGTGCTCTTCGTCTCCACATATTCCTTCCAAGCTTTATGTTTCTTCTTGACTTCTCTCTCTAGGCCCTTGTGCCACCATGGCGCTTTGCACTTCTTAGTTCTTCCTGTCTTCATCTTTGGAACATGTTCCTCAATCATCCTCTTGAGTTTCCTCTTGATGCAATTCCAGGTTCCTTCTGTATCCATGTCCAACAAGATGTCGTCCCAGTTAACTTGTCTGAGTGCTGCAGACATGTTGGTATAGTTCCCTTTCCTGTAGTTGAACTTTGTCTGTTCACTTCTTCTCTCCCCATCACTATCATTGCCATACCTGAATAACCATGATAACACTACATGATCACTCTTTCCCACTGGACTGCTTGCCTCCAAGTTGTCTATCATAAGTTCTTCAGTACTAAACACCAAGTCCAGCTGTGATGGGGTACAACCCTCTCTAAATCTTGTCGGGAAACTTACATGCTGGAACAGCAATAGATCCTGGACCGATTCATAAAACATAGCAGCATCAGAGTCATCCGGCCCCCTTACTAGTCCTGCTTCCCAATCTATTTGCCCATAGTTAAAATCCCCCATCAGTAGTATACTTGAAGCTTGAAACCTTCTAGCACGCCCAATAAGGTCAATCAGTCTCTCATTGTTGTCAAATGTACTTGCCGGACTTCTGTAACATAAGCCGACAAGGATCCTGACTGCCCTTGTTGGCTTCACTATACACCAAACTGATTCTTTGTATGGCATTTCGTTAAGTTCCATACACTCAGAGACCGTTAGGCTGTAATGTGGGGTTTCAGTCATGGGTATGTTCTGCTTCTGAAGCTTAGAAACGATTAGCCAGACTACAGTGAAACTTTGAATGTAGCTTATATGTATCGTCACCCTTGCAGCTGCAACTTGAGGTATTGACATCTTCTTTTCGATCACTCCGCATTAAAAAATCGCCAGTCAAAGCCAGCCGTTGAGATTGGTAAAACCCTACATTACTTTAGCGGTGGGATGTACCTAATGACTTTGATTAGATCTCATTTCCCATCTATAAGCAAGGGGAACACATTTTGGGACACTGCGGTTTATATAGCCTTGGACACTGCTATCAAATGAATACAGCAATACTATAAAAACCAGACACATGACTTACCACTTATGAAACACTTATGAAATACGCGGTATATAAAAGACTTATGAAATATCAGCCTGTCAGAGAAAATACACAAAAACAGTACGGAAAAAACAACAAAAAAACTCAACAGTTTGAAAAGAATCTTTGTCATTGCTACGCCGTAACCGTCACATCTGGAAGCCCTCCTATTGCTACCATATTTCTAAAATACCTTCACTTTCCGCCTTCACTTTTCGCCTCTTACCTCTACTACAGCCACAGCCAAGTAAAGCTATCAGTCATCGTAAAGAATGAAGAATCATCTATGATCTACGTAGTACGTACCGTATCCTAGCCCTCGCCGGCACAGGAGGGGGGGGTTTATGCAACCCCCCTAAGGTTTTTCGCGAATAACTCGCGTAAAAAGCGGCCGATCGCGACGGAACTTTCAGTACCCTCGCATTGATTAATTTTACACGTTTCCTGAAAATTTCATGACCCTGACCCCAGTGACCTTTGACCTGTGACCTCTTTTCCGTGACCATGTTTGGCCGAAATCGCGATTCGGTGTATGTCGGCTCGCATTAGCCGCGCGTTTGCAAGCTTTTCGTGGTTTCAAACGTTCAAACATGTGATTTGATGTTGCTCCCATACATTAGGGTGGGTGTCAAGGTCACCTGAAGGTCAGGTCAGGTCATTGACCTTTGGTGACCTCGGGTGACCTCGGTTTACTTTTTCGAGTTTTACATGTTTCTAGGCTAGTTTTTGGAGCTGAATTCGAATTTAGCAACCATTTGAACATTTACGAAGTAGTTTTGGTGCCTTCGTAACATGTTACGAAGCTGTCAGAGGCGGTTGACACGTATTACGAATACCCGTCACAACCCCTACCGGTTGACCTGACCTGACCTGACCCGACCTGGTCTAAATGCTTAAAAACTCTGATCAAAACTAACACGATATTCATGATCAGCACCCCGGAAAACCACATAGCAGCCACACTTTACGACTTTCTAACAGGTCCCGATTTTCTCGGTTTTCCGGTCATTGACCTGACCTGGAAGGTCACCCGATGACCTAGGACCTTAAAATTGGGTATCATCGGCTTCCTCTCGTGTCGGGCAACACGCTCGTTTTTTCCGCGAAGCTCTAGCTCAATCGGGGGCCAAACGCGAGGGGGGGGGGGTCGTACGGGGACCCACAGTTGCTACCGTACAGCGACCCTGAGTAAATTGTCCCAGCACACTCACAGGGAACAACGATAAGCTGTCAGAGGGCACTCACAGAAAACCTCAGCTGCTCTTGTTCAGGGACCGGCAGTCGATATCAATGTTATCGGTTGTTACTGGGCAGGACAGACGGCTAGAGTTGGGGTTCGTGTACAGTAGCAACTGCGGGTCCCCGTACCAACCCTTGTGCCGTCGAAGGACGCAAAATGGCCTGTACCGGCGAGGGTTTTAAAACTTGAACTTAGCAGTCAGCAACAACCGAACCGATCGAAACAAAAATATGGATATTCCAGACTCCAGTAAGTAGTACCTAACCATTGTCCATTTGAAATTTTAACTTACCTTACCTTAGGTACGGCTCTCGCGAGATTAAGCGGTAGTTGCACTTTAACATTTCCGGTTATATCTCAGAAACTAATAGATCTACGATGAAGCCATTTTACACGATCATGGCCGGCTTGTGACAAGACAAGTCGATCGCATCTTCAACACTTAAAAGCTTAAGACGACGTGGATATAGCCTGAAGTAGGTACACTAAATTTTCTAGGTGCAAAACCCGCCGCGAGACCTGTACCTTGAAGTCAAGATTCCTTGTGGTGGTCGGGTTATGTATAGGTAAAGGCAGTAAAGCCTGGAGGTCCCGCTCTCATCGAACTCATGTGTTCCGTTCTGACTCGACTAAGTCGGTGTCAGGCACCAGATGATACTGAAGCGGAGCCCCGAGTGGGCATTCAGACGGCTTTTGAATAGGCTGCCTACGTTCAGCGAAGGAGAGCCTACAACCTCGGCCGGCAGTCCAATTCCATTCCAGTCGTTCACCACACGAATGGCAAAAGCTGACCTCCTGACTCTGCTTGAAGCTGGGGCTTTCCGGATCTTGAACAGGTTGAGCTGGTGACATCGCGTAGAAGCGTCGGTAGCGAGAGTGAATAAACTGTTTGGATCCACATCTATGCCGCCATGGAAGATCTGGTAGGTCGCTATCATGTCGCCTCTTCTTCGCCTGTAGTATAGAGACGGCAATTCAGAGTTCTAAGTCGGTCTTCGTAGGGCAGTTGACGGAGACTTGCTACCAGCCGAGTGGCTCTACGTTGAACTCTTTCAACGAGTTTCTGGTCAGCTCTGTTGTTCGGGCCCTGCATACAAGGTTACCGTACTCCAAATGAGGTCTCACTAGGCATTTCTCCGTCCCGCTGCGCTTGCAAAGACATGACTGGTGGATACGGGTCTATGTATTCCTGACATTTACCCCAAGTCATGCTCTTTGGGTGAGGGTAACGCCCCCGTGAGGTACACATCAGGGTAACAATATACATAGCCGGGAGCACGTTCACAGTGCTACAAGATAAACGAGACAGGCGGCGGCGGGGTGGCGGTGGACAGAACACATATTGTCACGTGGCACTGCGGGCGCTCACTGAGGCCTGAGGGCCGGTGGTGCTCACGTCGTGCGGTAGGTGTCGCTACAGGCTACAGTTTGCGCCCGCGGGCAGAGAAAGGCTTTGCTGCGCGCCACTGTTAGTCGCGCGCATCAAATACATTTCTCCGTCCCGCTGCGCTTGCAAAGACATGACTGGTGGATACGGGTCTATGTATTCCTGACATTTACCCCATAGGAGCCATATGGGGTGGTAGTTTTTGAGCGCCCATTTAGCCTAATGCTACCAACTCTTACTGGCTACCCCTGGCGACACCATTTCATTGTGGAAAATAAATGAGCGTGACGTCGTCCAAGAAAACGGGTGTAGGACACGAGGCACGCAGGGTCACCTCGGACTCCGGAAAACAGCGTCGAAGCAGTGTTGGCAACATGCCCAAAATTGGGCTGTTGGTAGCCTGGACTGTAGTGTCTCGCATGGGGCGTCTCGCGTCATGAACTCGGTGACGACCGCGCACAATTACGTATGAAATGCGACATGAATGTTAGATCCCTGTAGTGGGGGCAAGGTCAGATCAACCAGGCAGGAACATAGCCGGAAGTATAAAAACATGCACAACATATGACACATGGTCCATGGGTACTTTGGATGAAAGCACACTGGTGACAAGAAGTGAGGAGTACGTAGAGTATATTTGGTCGAAACAGACCAATTTGCGAAAAACATACTGTCCGGTCTGAAAAAGCCACGAGAAATCACTGCGATCCAGGTCACGGTTTAGGAATCTGTAAAAGTCAGAAAAAAATTGAAGACAGCCTGGACTGGCAATATATGCACGTGAAACCCCGCCCCTTGAACATGAAAAAGCCACCGGCACGAGCCTAGCTGACGAAACTGTATGCGCCCGGGCGCCAGGGTGCTATAAGTCTACGTGCGCCCAGGCGCGCCGGCGAGATACGGAGACTGCGGCTGCGGCTCCAGCATCCCGAGTCGCGCCGCGCAGCGCAGCAGACCGCCGACGCTCGCGGCCACGTCGCCGGCACCCTGTCCGGTCGGTGCCGCCGCCTGGCGGCGCGTATCGGTACGACCATCCCCACCCCCGGGGTGGGGAGGGAGCGAGGGAGGGGAAGCGGCCCGGTAGGGGGACGCGCCGGACAAAGGGACAGAGATGGCCGCGGATTAGTGGTCTAAGCAAAACGATTAGCTCAGGCCGCCCACGGGAGTCGAGCGTAGTCGCGGACAGCGCCGCAGCCCGAAGCGAAACTGCCGCACAGTGCCACGGGAAGATAGAAAAACCGCGAAAAAACTACTGTCAGCGGCTGTGCCGTTAGCGAGCGGAGTCAGGCGTGCAGGGGTCACCAACCGGCCGCACTGACGCGCCGCCGGAGACGGGGACGCAGTACAACGAGACGGCCGCACCGGGCCGTGAGAATAGGCACTAGGTATATTCCCGTCACGGGAAGGACTCGCCTGTAATTGAAAAGCGGCTCACCGCACTGTTGGTGCACACCAGACGCAAAGGAATTCCGAAAGCACACAGAACACATATTGTCACGTGGCACTGCGGGCGCTCACTGAGGCCTGAGGGCCGGTGGTGCTCACGTCGTGCGGTAGGTGTCGCTACAGGCTACAGTTTGCGCCCGCGGGCAGAGAAAGGCTTTGCTGCGCGCCACTGTTAGTCGCGCGCATCAAATACATTTGTATAACAGTGGCACTGTTTGCTGATCGAGAAGCACGAAGGAGCGTCGTATCACCGCTAACATTTGAGTGGCTTTTCTTACAGCTGCCGAAGCATGCCTCCTGAACTTATGCTTCAAAAGATTCGGAAGCCCTGTTGGTGAGACCACTCGCCAATTTCTTTTCCCCTAATTATCCCGGCACCGCCTTGGCTATTTCCCAGTACCCACGAAAAACCGACCCCCCCCCCCCACTGTTATCTCAAGAACCAATGGTATGGTCTTATTGAGCCCCGCAGTAAGAGCCTCGCAGAAAAAGGGAGCGTGTGCGCTTAACAAGCATCGCATGAAAGCCGTCAATTGTCGCAAACGTCTTTCGACTTTAGAGCCCACGATGATCTCTGCCGGGCCAACGTTCGAAACGGTGAAAAGACGTGACAGGTCTGATAAATCCTCTGTCTTGGATTGAGCAAGCTGTCTTGGACTGTATGCCCTAATTTTGCCATGATTAATTTTCTATAATCTAGGCAGCCAATCCGAGCCAGGATTTATTAATTTATAGATTTATATATAGATTATTATAGATTACAGGATTTATAGATTATGATTCACTTACATCTAATTTGACGACCGTAAAATAAAGACTGTTTTCCCTTATCACTTCTCACTGGTGCTACTGCGTGGTGCTCCGTTGCAATCTTTGAGCTGTTGTCCTGTGTTCCGGTGCAGTCGCCGTGCCTCGCGAGTCGCGATGCCATGGCAACTATGAAGCGATCGGCGGGGTTGGATAAGAAGTTTTAAAATGATTCAGTTTGGAAGGCTATGTTCTTTGCCTTTCCTCCCTGCCTCTTATAAGTAACGAAGTATGCATTTAAAATATGCATATTCGTTGGTGTCTCTTTAGAAACCGGAAGCGCCAATCGCGCTAGTAGTCGCTATAAGTCGCTCATGGTAGCGTGCCGTAAAACAGGGTCCTTAAGTGGTCAAAAGGAACCGACTCTGTGCTCAAACAGTGCAGAGACTGGTATTGTTTAATGTTTTAAGACTGCACCCAGCGCCCAGTTCGCTTGCAGACAGCAAGGTCGTCTTCCCCCCATGTCCTGGCAGAGGTTCTGATCTAGCATCCCGGCACGGCGGGACGCCAATTTGTATTCATGGCGGCACCAGGCTGAGGAAGGCTCATAATTATCCACCTCTAGCGTACAGAGTGTACTGAGTCTCAGAGCCACAGTGCCGCTCTCGATTCAGCCATACACTGCTGTATACTAACCAGGTTTTTATCGTCTGCGGCCACGGATTAGGCCGCGAGTGAGCCGGGCCGATTGAACGAGCCTTACGCCGGCGAATGGCTGGGGCGCGCGGTCAACAAACCCCGGAAGGGTGGTGCGTCATCACCCTCTCCACTGGGCGCCGCCATCAGCTGACGCTGCAGCGGGCGCCGACCTCATCTGACGGCGGCTGACCCCCTGGCCCCTGGGCGCCCCCTCTGACCCCCTGGGTGACCCGGGCCCGGCCGGCGGCACCCCGGTTCGACTCATTACTGTTCTGTAAAAACGGCGCACCGGCCGCCGGTGGCGCGTCGGACTGCCGCGGGCGGGGCCGGCGGCGTGCCGACTGACGACAGTCACGCAGATACTGCGACCGACCGGGTCGACGGGGTGACACTGCGCCGTGACTGCATCGAGACTGCACCGTCTATACAGCACGGGTAGGTTATAGGGCGGCATTGGACACCAGACAGCCAGGGCTCTGACTGTGGCATGGCAGGGCCTTGCCATGATCTGCATATACGGTGACGCCGCACGGGATGTGTATCGCGGAACGCGGCATTGGCATTGCAGCATACGGACGGGCAGGAATGTACTGCACAGCTCATATTGAAACTCCATCCAGTGGCGGATCCAGGGGGGGGGGCAAAATGGGCATTTGCCCCCCCCCAAACGGCATGATTTTAACATTACGCCTATGGACGATGCATGGAAAGAATCGATAAATTGTTATGGTTTGCCCCCCCCCCCCAAAAAAAAAACTCTGAGCTGGATCCGCCTCTGACTCCATCGGTGGCACCGACAGTCTGCACCTATTCGACACTGAGTAGGATCGACCAGCTGGACAAATCTGGGCTGAGAAACGGAGAGGCTGAAAATAAAGTTGCCCATACAGCTGGAATGCTAACAATAAAATCTGTAATCTGGCCATTCCAGCGCCTGGGATAATGATCCGACCGTCGGGCATATGACTTACCCATGGCTATTAATCAAGGGCTGTTATTGATTTTTATCACCACTTAGGTTTTGAAGACAGTTATCGAGAGAAACGAAAGAAATGGTTGATGCCGCCATTAGAAGATATTTACTTTTTAATCACAGAGATTTTTCACCTATGTGGTGGTCGGATGAACAATTTTTCGCCATTTACCAAGGTAGGGCTACTAATAAGCATTCAGTTGCAGTGACTGATTGTAGTAAGTGAGTCACAAAGTGGCGGCGACACGGAAGTAAAAACGAAACAAGTTCGATGACCAGCAAAGATCGCGATGGGACCTTACATTGAACCTTTTTGCTTTAGATAGATTAATCTACGGCATTCCTCGACATCTGGCTCATGATGGGAGTTGTAATAGGTTGCAAGCGATAAGCAGTTATGCTTCAATTGTTAGCAATTACAAGGATAAAGGACGCTAATTCATTACGCTCAATGGTGACCGTAAGTCTCACTTTGAATGGCGTCTAATCAGCACCGATGAAATTAAGATGTAAAACATTAGGTACTTACATTTGACATTGCCCTTTTGTATGCTCATCATGAATCCTGTTTCATCTCACAGGATATAGATCATATTTTCTTGACGCCTGACGCTGCATAAACACAGGTATTTTGAAGACACTTAACTGATAACATTAGGTACTCAAACAGGGGCATTCATATTACAAAATGACACAGCTATCCTGCAGCAGATGATTGGTGTGCGGTGCCCGCATACCATTTTTGTTTTTATTCTTTTGTTTGTGTAGTTTTGCCAGTTATCTAACTTACTTAGACCGGACATGCTTAGCTGATTATACCTGTTTATTAGCTAAACGATTGTTTTCAAACATAAAATCGTACCAAACGACAAATAACGCTGAGCCACGGTTGATTGACATCTCTTCTTCTTCTTCTTTGTGGTAGTCGGCCTGCCGCCAGAGGCGATTTCGGCCGTTGACATCTTTTGACCACTCGCCTTTATAACACTCCCCCCTTCCCCTTCAGTAAGCGCTAAACGTAACGGTGGGCTATATGTCCCGAATCGAATCGGAAACAATGAGGTGCCACTCTGGCGGCAAAAACGCCGCTCATTCGACCGGGCACCTTCCTCTCCCGTGCCGCTGGAAGGTTCGAAATGCTGGGACCGTCGACCTACGAACGATGATCCACGGTACCTTCGGCTGTTTGTAGCCCGCGACTTGACCGGCCCCGTCAGTATATGTAGATGACAGAAAGTCAGCTGCAGTGAAGCTATAACGTAGCTGGCTCTACTGCACAGACCACAAAATGCATGATGTGATATACATAGAGATCATGATCTCTATGCATGATGTAACTGCATTTCAAGAGCCTCTTTCAAAGTCTTGAAGTCTTGAAGCAAGAAGATGTAGGTATGGAAAAGCAATATGATTAAAGAGCTCTTTCATCAACAGGCATTAAACTTACACCTTAGATAGGGATCATAAAACTAAATTGCGGCAATTTGGAAGGCATTTTCGTCCGCCTATCATGCTGCCACCAATGGGTTAGCCAGCATTGAAGGTTTCTCGAGCGTTACCGCATGGTGCCTAGAGATATGGTGGCAACGACCTCCGGGCCTCTGTTTTTAGTCGAAATTCTTGACCTCCTCATTAAATTCTACCTTGAGTCATGAAAGCACACAATAGGAGCCGACGTCAATTACTCCTGGTATGATTTGTACGTGAACAAACCGTGAGGAAAAACGGTCGGCGCTTATTTTCAGTAATCCTAATTGCACGTTTCGAGTGCGTTTATCGCCTTTCAACAGTCATAAACCACCCGAAGCGACGCTATCAGCGCGGGAGGGCCACTCGTTCCGTCTCACCCTCACACCCCGACACCGTACACCGGGTCCGGCATACACCCGGGATGCGATTCCTCGGGACACACGGGCCGAGCACGACCCCCCACCCCCACCCACATACACACTTCGCTATTTCACAGCTTAAATTTGTGCACGCACGCAGGACTCGCGTTCGCACGCACGCACATGCACGCAGGACGTACCGTCAGCGCGTGCACGCTGAATTCACACCCTTCACATCCTATCACCAGCATAGCGACCCTCCGACCCTTTTTCCCACACTTCTGACAGCCCATCACGCCTACCGAACACCCTCACAGCCATACGGCCCCCACCCCTACTCTATTCCCACTCACGTATTTAGGTGGAATCACAGATGACCGATCTGCGGTCGCTCCAGTCAATAGACCGTGCTATACCACCGTAACGAACAAGACGCAGGAAATACCATTGGCGGCGCTAACTAGCGCTGCTGCAGATGCCATTGTCGTCGAATTCACCGCCCCACGGACATCGCGGTTATCTGCAAAAACGGCGAGCAGAGCAATCAGAGCCGCGCGGCAACCCATCGCGTGAGCACTAATGGCTGGAAGCTACGGCAACTTCATCGATAAGTTGGACGGGGAGGAGGCGAAGAAAGGAGCGCTGTACACGCACGCCAACACCGGGACTGGGAGGGGGACAAAAATCGGATCTGTCTTTGATCACGTGATGACTTCTCGCCTTCTGTGTGAATGGTTGTTTTTGTACGGAGCCGCTACTGTCATTGCTGTGCTAGTGATTCCGTTGAACGTTGCTGGGGATTGAACGTTGGCGGCCCTATTGGGTAAGTGGAACTGGCGCCCACCTCTGATTGGGACACTCTCCCCTTGTCGGTGGCCCACAACTGCTGCTCCTATATCTCTGGTGTTTGTCACAGATAGGTACCTAATTTATGGTAAGTCAA